CAAAGCTTCAGGAAATCACCCCCACTTCGAATGGTATGATTGTTGTGCTTTTAACTATGTATGGTTTTATGTTTTTGTAACTCTGTTTGTATTTCCCCTCCCTTTTTGAGTTGTGAGCCGCCCTGAGTCCCTTCAGGGAAAAGGGTGGCATACAAATAAATTAAACCAACCAACCAATAGGAGGGTTATTGGAAATCTGTCGGTGGCAGAAATATGATCCGGCTCAGTTTGAGCAGACCTGATAATCGCCCTGAAAGAAGCCCAGGGGGGGCAGATGCCCTGCGACTCCCAAAACATAGTTGGACTTGTTTCCCTCCAATAAGAGAAGCTTCTTAAGGGAGGGTGGGGAGAAGGGCTGGTAAGTGGAGGCTGCCTTGATGACCACCCTAGAAGCAGTGGGGGTGGCTATTGTAATGCCGGTGGGCTTAAAGAGGCCCCTCCCTCACCTGATGGGGGAGGGGAAGAACGAAGGAAAGACCGAAGGAAACAGCAGCCTTCATGGCAATAAGGCAAGTGGTGCAGCGGAGCAGAAGGAACATGGCAGCTCTGGCGGCCGCAGTGGCTTTGATTTAGGTTGCCCTTCACAGGTGGCATCACAGAAGACGTGGCTGTTGGGAGGCAGGTCTTCGGTTCGGGCTGTGCCATCTTCAGATGAAGTGGGGGGTAGCAAGTGGTGGGGAAAAGCTTTTGTTTCCCTGAGCAGCTGAGAAAATTGGGAAAGCAGTTTGGCTCCCACCCCACCTTCCCCTGGGTGATTGGCCCCCACCCCTGACGCACTCTCTGGTCGAAATCTGAGTGGTCTGGAGGAAAGTGCTTCTCTTGCTATGAGGCAGTTCTCAGATCCGAGAAGCCGCTTGTGTTTCCAGCGGTGGGAAGTGCCAGAGGAAGGTGGTGGTCTCCTCCTCGCTGTCTGGGGCCGGTGAGTCATGCGCCTTCGCTTGACACCCACCCAAGGCGACCCAAAGTCACACTCGGCCTTCGCCTGGCCTTCTTTGAACTGGTTTTGCTCTGCTTCCTGCCCCAGTCGGATGTGGCTGGCTCTGCGCCTGGGCTTAACCTACTTTCGCTCCTTCCTGTAACCCCGAGGGGGGCCTGGAAAGATTGGGCTTGTCAAGCAGAGGCTCCAGCCTACATTGGAACGTATACAGGAGCCTGGCCCAAGGAGACAAGCCGTGATAAACATTCGTCCCTGTCTGGCGTGTTTCTCAGTCTCAGCTGAAAGACTCTGCCAAGCCCAGCAGAGGGAGGAAACAGGGTCCCAGGAATACCTAACTGCGCACCAGAACAGAACGAGAGTCGGGTCTTCAGAAACCATAAAACAGAAACCCTTTTCTAGGCAGAGAGCTTTTCCAACTGCCTTCCTCCTTTTTCTTTTTCTTTTTTGAACTATTACCATCTGGCAGACGGTACCGGATAATAAAAACAAATAGGCTGAAAAACAGCTTCTGTCCCAGAGCTGTAGCTATATTCTACTGTGTAATGTAATATTAATGCAGCGTTAGGGTTTTTGTTTATAGAATGTGAAGGGTGTGTGTTTGTGTTTTTATTTTTATAATTGTAATGTACACTGACATGGCAGTGAGATGGCATTTAATTTCGTTGTACCATTGCAATGACAATAAAGTAAAGTAAACTTTCTTTTTCGGACTGTAAACATAGTCTCAATTCCACGGAAGATCAGAGGTTTCCTGGATTGTACCCTTTAATCTGCTTTTGGAGTGTGTCAAAGATCTGTGGGGCAAGAATTAAGCCAGTCCAAGTGCTCATTGACCACTCACATTCTGACAAAAAAAGAAGGGGCAATTTGTCCTTAGCCTTGGTTGGGGATTGATTGGATTTCCATGAAAGGGGAGAAATAACTGTTGTGAAGTGGGGCTTGAATCATCCTCTCGGC